TTTTGCACCAAAAATGTGAAAGGTGGGGACGTTCTGCGCCAAAAAATGAAAAGTAAGGACATTTTGCACAAAACTCGTCAAAGGTAGGGATGTTTTGCGCCAATTACCCTCATCAATATTATCTTTAAAGAAATCATCATCATCATCATCATCATCATCTCATTATAAGTTTCTTTTCATTCTTTGTATGATCCTTCAATTGCACTGGGGTATTCTCCTCCGTGTAGTTAGAATAAAAAAATAAAAAAGTCCCGTAAAACATTTTAGGTTATAAAGAAATAACTCAAAAAGCTAAAGACAATAATTAAATGTCTGAAAAATGCAAGTTAAATAAACAGCTAGCATGAGGCTCGGACTTGAGGCATAAGCCTCACAAATTCATGGTATAAGCCTTGCTAAAGATTAATGCTATATACCACTGTATCTATTCCAGATTATGCGACCTCCTAAGGTCATTCTGAAAAGGTTGGAGAGTATATTTGCGCGATTCCTTTGGGATTCTAAGGATCATGCGCGTCGTCTACATTGGCGAAGTTGGAAGGCGATTTGTCTTCCTGCTGACAAGGGGGGTCTGGGCTTTAGACGATTACAAGATACAGTGAACACATTTTCATTGAAGCTATGGTGGTTGTTCAGGTCTCAAAGTTCTCCTTGGGCTTAGGTTCTACTGGGCAAATATTGTAGAGAGATACATCTGTCGCTTGCAGCAGTTCCTCACTTAGTCTCTCCTATTTGAAAGAGACTAAAGAAATTTGGACCATGCGTTGAGACACACATTGCGTGGCGCCTTGGGATAGGACAGATCATCTTTTGGCATGATTGTTGGATGGGCAATTCTACATTGGCATCCATTTTTTTACACAGATAGCATACATCTGCGATGGTGCAGGACTTTTTCGAAGAGACTGGATGGAATTTTGGGCGATTACTACAGGCTTTTCCATCGGCTATGGCAGAGCAGATCGCGACCATTTCAATATGTCTTGATATCTCGAATCGCATTTTCTGGAAGGCCACATCAGATGGTAGATTGAATACTAAATCAGCAGGCAGCTGATTTGCTCTTAACAGGCCAGTTCAGGATTCATTTTGCCTACTGTGGAGCCCTATTCTACCTACTACCGTTTCGTTCTTCTG